GTATTTCCTGTCTCTGTCCATCCTTCTTATACATCTTCTGAACTTTTCCCTTGTGTAAATACTGGCCCTTTGCCTGAAAGTAAACAAGCGGCCACCTAGCCCAGAAGCAACAAAGTCCACATGGAAGCAGCACACCAACATGTGTGATCATGAAGGGCCAAAGGGACCAGGCTTCAAGCACCAAAGGAGGTGGGGGCGGGGGTAAAAAAAATAAAAAATTTTAAAAATCATATCATTGTGATGAGAGTAGCGCGTGATGGGGACCCAATGCCTATCTGTGGACAACTGGACTTACCTTGCAGAGGGGTAGTGGGGAGGAGATGAGTCACTCAGGGTGCAGTATAGCAATAATGAAATCACAACCTTCCATGATCCCAATTCTACCTGGCAAACCTGGTTAGAGCAGAGGATGCACAGCGGTACAGATGGGAACTGGAAACACAGGTAATCTAGGACAGATGAACCCCTCAGGACCAGCGGTGAGAGTGGTGATACCGGGAGGGAAGTGGGGGTAGAAAGGGGGAATCGATCACAAGGATCTACATATAACCTCCTCTCTGGGGGATGGGCAATAGAAGGGTGGGTGAAGGGAGACGCAGGGCAGTGTAAGATAAGATATAATAATTTATAAATTATTAGGGTCCACGAGGGAGGGGGAGCAGGGAGGGAGGAGGGGAAAAAGGAAAATGAGGAGCTAATTCCAGGAACCCAAGCGGAAAGCGAATTTTGAGAATGATGAGGGCAACAAATGTTTAAGTGTGTTTTACACAATTGATGTATGTATGGATTGTGATGAATTGTATGAACCCCAATAAAATGATTAATAAAAAAATACTGGCCCTTTTATCCCAAATTGTTGATGATTCTCACGTGTGCACACATCAAAAAGTATTATTATTCCCCCTGTCCATGAGTTGTCTGGCTGGAAACTGAGCCACGGGGTGAATTCAGCTCTGCACCCTGAGGGGACATGGTCTCGAGGGTTCTCCCAGGCCGAGCTGAACAACAAGCCGAGTCTCCTTCGTTATGCTAAGTTTCAGGCCACTTCCTTCATTCGCTTCATCCAGGACCTTCTACTATGACTCCTTTCAGAGCGGGCCATCAATCATCGAGTTCTTCTGGTCTTGGGTTTCTGGACGCAAATGCGCACGTAGTTCATTTACCTCTTGTTCCCATGTGTCTTCAAGTTGCTTGACTCTTCTTTCCTCCAGAGGAAGGGAGGCCAGTGAGTGGACGTTAGATGGCAGCTTACCAGCTTTTCAGAGCCCAGTTGCTACTCACCTAAGTAGATGTAGACTTTGTGGCCTGTATTATGCCATTTGACCTTGGTGGCCCCGAGACTGGTCCTGAGTACCCCGCCCACAGGTAACATCTGGGTTACTCATCTTGACTTTATCCTACGTGATTCTTAGGCTTCCTTATTTTCCCTTTCTGACTCTTCCTCCAGGAGAGTAATATTAACAGGATGGTTGCCAAGCTCACTGATTTGGCCTTCCAGAGATTCTAATCTACTCCTTTGTCATTTCAGTGGACTATCTATTCTGAAACAGCAGTAACCTTCTGGATTTCTGTTTGCTGTGTTTATATGGTTTCTACTTTTATGCTTATTTTCTCAGTCCTTGTACTGACCTCATGAATTCTTCAAAGTTTTTTTCTCTGTGTTCTCAACCTTTCAATCTGTTGCAAGAACCTAAATGCCATTCTTTTGTTTTTCATGAGGTGGCACTGATGCCATTTCCTCCTTAGAGAGGCCTCTAGCTAGCTCTGCTTGGTCCCTTGTTCGAGCCACTCTATCTAGTCTGTTGTGTGTGTTGAAATTGTCATCTCTGAGACGCATGTTGTTTAATTTGTATTTAACTGATCATGGTATGTTAGTGTGTTCGTAGGCACTTAGCGCCTCTCTCTTGGTAGGTGTAACGTAATGGGAACACGTGTGCAATTCTTTGCTCATTGTTTGTGTGGCATAGTTGAGGGCGGGGTTTGGCCGGTGTTGACTGTTGACTATCAGTGATCAGGTGGGATGGGAGCGGGTAGTGGCCCTTTGTCCGTAGCTTGGCCTTGAGGAAGTTTGGCTGTGGCAGAACCATAGGTTTCTAGTTGGTATCCCATCCACTTCTCCGCCCCTTTCATTAAAGCTCAAGCTTCTAGGATTACCATCCGGGTCTTTCATCCTTTGGTATTTTGTACCTTTGGTGTAGAGGGTTTGCCTAGTTTACCCACTTGCTGGATGTCTAATCTCTGTCACTAATTTTTGATATGTGAATCCCATCCCCTCCCTACTTCTCTTTCACCCTCCAGGAGATGTTTTCTCTATATTTGGCACAGAAGCGTCCCCCCAGTACATTGAGTGGAACTATTGGGGTGTAAAATATTTATATTTAACAATTCTAGAGATTGAAAACAATTATCAAAAAAGAAAAGGAGAGAGAGATTATAAAATCTTTCTTTGTTAATAGATTACAGATGTTTGACTGAAGGAAAAATATTATGAAAATAGCTGTGTATTAAAAACAGCAAAAGCACTTCGCTTAATCGACCCAAGATTCTCCTCTTCTGTGCCAGTGCATACTGTTTGCTAAGACAAGGATCGTGTTTGAAGGTAGCTGCTGCGCTCTGTTTCCATGGAATAAATGCAATGACTTTTCAAGAACGATTTGAATTCTGCGTTTGTACATAATTTTACTGTAGTGTGTGTTACTCAAGACTGGCATGATTTAATACAAAGAAAGATTCTTTATTCATACTGTGAGCAACTGTCTTCAAAATTGAGAGGCAACAATATAGGCATTCTTATTTGACTAAAACAGGGAGTAAATGTCAAAATTATTTCACAAGTTCTTTTGTTGTTGATGTCATAATAAAAATACCGAAAAGTGGGTGAAGGGAGACGTCGGACAGGGCAAGATATGACAAAATACCAATTTATAAACTATCAAGGGCTCATGCGGGAGGGGGGAGCGGGGAGGGAGGAGAAAAATGAGGACCTAATGTCGGGGGTTTAAATGAAGAGAAAATGTTTTGAGAAACGATGTACAAATGCGCTTTACACAATTGATGTGTGTATGGATTGGGATAAGAGTTGTATGAGCCCCTAATAAAATGTAAAAAAAAAAAATTTCTACAAAACTGCTTTCCTTATCATAGATTTTTCCCCCCTCAAGTTCGAAGGACTCTGAGCGCCAATCTAACTTCTGCATGCTGCCCAGAGAGATGACTTGATGGATCCTAAATGATGTAGCTAACTAATGGCAGAGCCAGCGAGAAAATGGAAACCTTTATCCATTATGCCATCGTGCTACATTCCTCTGGGAAAAACGGCCTACTCACTCTGATTTTTAATGCTAGTTGGGCTCTTGGGATAAGGCTTCTTCCCAGGACTGAGCGGTGCTCTTTTGTTTACTTGTGGGGGAGCTGCGAGCAAGAGCTAGTGGTTTTTCTGTGGACACAATGGAACAGTGTGAGGCACTGAGGGAAAGGCATCTGTGGGGTCAGGAAAGGCGTGGTTACAGCTCAGACTTTTTTAGGCAGATATTTTAAAGTTGTGTTTCACTACTTGGGTTCACTGAGAAATTCCTTAAACTTTTATAAAGATTATGTAAATATTTGCATATCCTCCTAGGATCCACTTGCCAGTCGAATCAGGTTTTCAAAGGGTGGATGGTCATAGTCATTGTTTTAGAAGGCGAATTAAGCAAACCTCATGGGGAATGAGCCCGCCACCTTTGCACTCCACATTCTAAGTCTACCGGAGGCTCCTTTACCTCCAGCTCCCCGATAATGCTGCCTGTCCCTGAAGAGACCTCCCCTCACGGATTCCTGGATCTTCTCATGGGAGCCCAAGCTTTCATGTTGGAAGAACCTTTTCCTAAAACATTCCAAAGGCTTCCCCACAGGCTGTGAACGTCACTGAGCCTCTGTGTTCCCTCCCTCTTCTTGTTTACCCTTTTCAGGCAAGAGTGTGAGACTTGAAGATTTTCTGTTAATTAGAAAGCTCAGAAGTGTTCTTTCGGTTACATTTCAGTTCAAAGAAATTAGTGAGCTGACCCAAGAACCTAAGACTTGGTCTAAGTAAAGGAAAATGTGGGAAGGGGGAGAGGAAGTGACGGAAATTCCAATCAGTATCTTGCAGATAATTTTCAGAAGGACCCCTATTCACTAGAGAATCTCTGTGTTTGGTCTGGGAATTCTTCCAGACCTTCCAGGAACAGAATGAAAATTTGTGGATAGTGGGTTAGAAGTTGCCTGGATCTGGAAAGTGTTTCAGTTGATTTTTTTTTTCCTACCTAATGTTATTTGATTTAGAAGAATCTGCCCTGAAATAAAGGAGTCCCGTTGGCCCAGTTGGGGAAGCATTGGACTGCTAACTGTAAGGTTGGTGGGTCAAGCCCACAAGCTTCTCCGTGAAAGAAAGATGAGGTTGTCTGCTCCTGTGAAGATTTACGGCCTCCTCAGAAAGCCTACATAGGATTCCTGTGAGTCAGAATTGACTCAACGGCAGTAGGTTTTAGGCTGAAAGGGGAATTCCTTTTAATGGGCCTTCTTCTTGAAGAGAAAAATATGTAAAAAGCATATTCTAAAATGTTAAGACATGTATCTTGACACAGAAAAATACTACCACGAATATTGAAGTTGGAAGACTATAAACAAAACAAATATGCCCGGAGCAGTATCATGAACCTTAAGCCATCTTTTCCCATCTATGTTAGGAAATAAAATAGTCTTTTTTCCTTAAGTGACATGTGATTAGCTTAATAATAATTCGGTCTGCAAAATACCCCCCAAACCGCAGTAACTACTCTGCCTGGCCAGGTCGACGCCTTGGCCAAGGGCGTTAGGATAAGATTCACAGAGCAAACTGGGTCTTGGAAGGTTCAGCAGAAGCTGTCGGAGAGAGATGGAACCTGGCTGGGTGTACATGGTGTGTTTGTGCCTTGCTGGTTTTAATGACCCTTCACCCTTCACATCTTCCACTCTGTATCTTATTTTGTCTTTTCCATTAGAGCTCCAAACGGGAATGGAAGCCTCTGGAGGACCGGAGCTGCACGGACATACCATGGCTGCTGCTCTTCGTCCTCTTCTGCATTGGGATGGTAAGGAACTGCCACGGCGTGACAGGGACCCGAACTCCTGAGTCAGGGAAGGAGGTGGAGTGGGTTTAAAGAGGGAGCTTTTTAAAAATAAAACCTCCTCCTGTATGGCTCAGGGGTGCCCTGGTGGCATCGTCATTGAGTGCTCGGCTGCTGACTGAAAGATTAGACTCTGCTTCTATAAAGATTATGGCCTTGAAAACGCTACAGGGCAGCTCTATTCTGTACAATACTACAAGGCTGAGGATGCCCCTGAGGCCCATTACTTCCACCCTATACCATTCAGTGGTATTTGGCATCCCCCTCATTTTACATTATTTTCCTCCATGAAAATTGAGACTAAGATTAAAGGAGCCATTGGGAACCTGCTTCACTAAGTAGGTCATTCCAGAAATCCAGGTAGATCATTCCAGAAATCCAGAGAGAAGTTTCAATGTGCTGAGCTCCTCATCGGGTGATAAACAGAACACCAGCCAGGGTCACGAGTCCGGGGTCTTTACCCAGCCCAGCCACACGAACTTGATGGTTGACTTAAGACAGTCAGTTCACCTTTCAGGACTTGGGGTTCCAGTGGCTAAAAGTAGGAGGTTTTGCTAGATCATTTCTCCAATAGTTTCTAGATGTTGACATCTTTTTAGTTCCTCCTGGATGTGTGGCCCTAGTGTAAGGTAACCAAAAGCAGGACAGTCCCGATTTTTAACCATTTGTCCTGCGTCCCGCGGCATTTTTAAAAAGTCCAGATTTTTGGAAAGAATGCACGACAAGCTAGGGTATACAGTTTTCTGCGGCCATGTGGCTATTTCACCAGGATATGAGTTTTATCAATGGTGTCCTGCTTTACCAATGTTAAAATCTGGTCACCTTACCCTAGTGGCATAGTGGTTACGAGTGGGGCTGCTACCACAAGGTCTACAGTTTGAAACCACCAGCCACTGTGTGGGAGAAAGGCAAGGCTCTCTGCTTCCATAAACAATTTAAGTCTCGGAAACCCACAGGGGCGGTTGTATCCTGTTCTGTCGAGTGGCTGTGAGTCAGCATGGGGAGTGAGTGAGAGATGTGTGGATGCTGCTACCTCCTTCTGCCTACTAGGCTTGCTGCGCTAACTATAATGAGAGGTATCTCCAAATCAGAGATCCAGGGGCCTGCTCTATTCTTCTATCAGTGATTTCAAACTGGTTATAGCGAGCGGAGGAGCTGAGTCTGATGTACGGTGTTGAGGGTGTGCTGATTCAAAGTGCCCTGCGGGAGTTTCTCACACAGACTTCATTGATGTTAGAGTCAGTGCTGGTGGTTGCAGATGTTAGCAATGGTTTCAGATGTTAGCACTAGAAAGGACCTTGGAAATCCTCATCTGGCCCATCACCCTCATTTTACAGGTTAAAACCATCAAGCCCAGAAATGATAAGGGCCGTCTCAAGGCCATCCTGCTAGTTAATGACAGAGCTGGGAACAGAGCCCAGGTCTCTTAATTTTCAAGCCAGTGCTCTTTCGACCACCTCATTTCCTCTTCCGCAAGGCCACTGTGCAGATAGCGCATTGCTCTTTTTCTTAGTCTTCTACAACTCAAAATGCAATTATGCTGCTGCAGGCAGCCCGTTCCCACTCGTGCGTAAGTGTTTTTAAATCCTTTCTTTCCTATCGAATCAAGGCTCTTTAGGAAGTTCTTATTCTTTGTTTCCCTGAACTGCCCACCTCCCAAGTTCCATTTGCAAATCACAGGAAACCCTAATCATGGCTAATAAGCATAATCGTAGCTACCTGGTTGGCCCTTGAGCCAAGGAAAGGAAATGAGATGTGCTAAGTCCAGTAGAATAACGAGTGTTAGTTTTAAAGATGAAAGACAGTTCAATTTCACCATATTTAAGGTCTTTAGAAAATGTCAACATTTTCTAGCTTTGGACTTATAAGATACTGCTCTAAAATCTACTTCGTTTAATGGCGTAGCAATGAACTGCAGCATGCACAAATTCGAATGCAGAGTGTAGGAGAAAAAAGAAGGTTCTCTACCAACAAAATTAGTCCGTAATCCCAAATCCTCCAGCCCTACCCTATCCTGAATTCAACCCTGGGATAAATCGCAGCTGACCTTTCAGAAATATGTTTATAAAAACATGTACCAGGCCACTGCATGTGCTTTTGATTTTCTATGCTCAAATTGCCCAGGAGCAGTGCCATCCTGAATATTAATAGGCTCCTTTGGGAATGACTGGAGAGTAAGGACTTGACTTGTTTACTGAAACATTTTAAGTCAATGGTAATTAATATAGCATTGATGACAGTGTGATGATGATCATTAAGACCCACTGTGTGTACTTTTAAATGCAGGCATAGCATTATTTGTTTTGAAATTATTCTTCCAGTTCATTCATGGAGCTGAGCAAGCAACGCTCTTTGACATGTAGGAACACAAGAACTCTCAAAGTTTTGTTCCCCCACTGTCGTGGCACAACTATAGTTCAAAGTTGTTTTGTCTTCCAAGTGTTTGCTCTTTTAGATTTCATTCTGTAGGGCTTTTAAGAGAAAACCATCAACCAACATTTGCTAAGCATTAATCTTTTATGCGATGTTCTTGTACGTGTGGTTCTCTCTCACTCATTTCTTCCAATTACCTTATGAGATCACCTCTATTCTGTGATTACAGTGGAGGCTTTTTGTGGTTGACAGTCAGTAGCAAAGCTAGATCAGAACTCAAACTCTAGCTGTGCGTTCACCTGGGCTCGGCTGCCTGCCTTACCTGCGGGTTCTCTGTCCTTGGGCAGCCTGATACACAATCATGTCTTTATCCTTCTGTCCTTAACCTGAAGCTCTTTGCACCTTCCTTGATCTTTATGCTTTGACTCTTGAATATTTTTAGTCCTTATCCCCTTCCGCACATCTTCCCCCGTTAAACACTTCTATTTACACGTGTTCATTTCATCTTAAATATTTGTACTTCTCTTTTTATTGCCTCCCTTGGTCTCAGGGTTTTCACATGCTTCAGTTGCCCAGAGCTTAAAGTACTTTTCAAAGTAAATTACCACCATCCTGCTTGAGAGCTGTCATCTTCCACCTTTAAATTTGGATCACTATTTTGAATTTACTTAACCGCTGCTTACCCTGCTCTTAAAAAATTATATGTATCACTGCATTTCTAAACCTCTTTTTAGTTCATTTAGATAGTAAACAAGCGGTTCTCCACTCTAACTGCATTAGAATAACCACTCATGCCTGAGCACCACCTCTGGGACTCTGACGTCATCGCCTTCATTCTAATATTCACCCAGGTTGGAGTCCGGTTGTTTCAGGTGTTCATAAAACACGGAAGAGTTTTGAGCAAGTTTTGAGTATGGTATGACTGGGCTTAGAAAGATGACTTTTGTAGCCAATTCATGAAGGAGGAAAACCTCAGTCAGAGAGACCACCCTGTGGGGCGAATGCAATCCTCCAAATGAGAGGTAAAGGAGAGGAGGAGCGATTGTACAGAGAAGAGGTAAGAGCAGTAACATTGGGTGCCATTGACCGTGGAGGTCAGTGGGAGGCGGATGAAGGGTGACTAGGAGGTACTTGTGTGAGGGGTTCAGGTTCCAGTCTTTTCAACTCAGATTGTACCCCAGCTCCTCCCAGATTCCCAGTTCTGGTTTCTGTGCACACAAGTAAGCAAGAAGGGGATGAAGGATAGCAAAGCACCACTTTGTTAGTTGCAGGCACCTGAAGTCTCCATTGGTAAAAACGAGTCATGGAGTAGAGTGTGGGCCACACATCCCCGCTGTCTGGGCTCGTCTGGTTGATCCAGTCTGACAGGAGAGGAGCACGAAGAGGAAGGGAAGGGAGAGGAGAGATGCGCTTGCGCCACATCTGCCCAGATTAGCTTGCCACACAAGACAGGGAAGGGGGCGAGAAAGCCCTCGGAAGAGTGCTTACCACCTGGGAGATGAGAACTGGAAGACAATTCAAAGATTTCCCTGATAACCATTGTTGCTTGTTCTGTGCTAGGCACTGTGCTCAGCACTGGGACTTGGAAACTCCGTTAATTTTCACAAGTTCTCAGTGAAGTCAATACCCTCCCCCTTCAGCACTTACAGGGAAGGAAACAGGCGTCGAGGTGGGAGAGAGGGGGAGCTTCAAAAAGTTCATGGGGAAATCCCATGATTTTAAATCAATTTTCCTATGAACTTTTTGAAGCCTCACACCCACCCCCTCCCTGGTATGGGAATACTGTAATTGCTTATGATCTCACAGTGGCATCGTTGAACCCAAGAAAGAAGAGAAGAGAGAGAAGGCGATGGCTTCAGGAGGCAGACCTTGTGTGCTGTGCTGATCACCTGGAACAGGGAAACAATAGAAAATGCCATCCTGCAGGTGAACATGGACCTGGAAACCCAGAAACCTCACTTGCCAGTGAACTGTTCTAATCAGTATCTCAGATTTGATCAATGACTTGGTCTTCCCTCTTCCTCCAGTGAGGAGTGGGAAAGCCAGGGCAAGTGTGGAAGCAGGAGAAAGGGTACCCTCATCCTATTTCTTAGGTGTGCAGTCTAGTAAATCATCGTGCTCTTAACGGACACGGAGTCTTTACAGGGAAGGGAAGCGCTCAGGAATGTAGAATGAGAAAGTGAATTTCGGATGCATTCGAATTTGTGGTTCGAGAGAAACTGTTGGAAATTTAGGGCAGGAATTTTGGAGAATGATCTGAACTAGAAGTGGATTTCGAAGACATGGTTGTACAGGTTGTACCATCTCTCCGCTTTCAAGGACCTTTTTATTTCTGACATTAGTCTGGTTCCCGGGCATGAGTTTCTACCTCATTAACTGTTGTGCTTGCAGCACGGAGAGAGATTCACCGCAGTGGTTAGTCAAACCTGTTGGCCAGTCTGCCCTTTGCCTGGGTGATAGAGACAGGAAGAACAACATGCTAAAAATTACGTTAGGCTATCTGATCCAAAGGAATACCTTTTTTTTGTGTTTAATCCATTGGCTTTTAATCTTCTCTTTGTTTCCTTTTTTCTCAGTTACTCTAGTGAGCC